CCTCACCTTAGCAACAAAGCAGATTTGGACACCCGACATGGAAACAGCGATATCTCCCGGCACAAATCTCCGATCCGGATGAACTTAGTCTCTATAGAAAGAAGACACTCGGGGCTTCACTTTGATAGGTTGTACGTCGTGTGGTTCCTTATGGATCGCCGGGAAACTGTCACACAAGACCACGGCGGTTTCCCCTTCTTCTCTCTTTCTCTCTTTTTTTTGGGTAGCTAGGATTTTTAGAAGACAAATGAGGCTCCTTCTCATTTAATTCCTTATTTATACTAGGGTTGCTGGAGTGGGCTTGACATTGATGGGCTTTCAACAATTAGGCCGAAATTGGGATGTTACATTTAACATGAGAAACGGATCTTCTCAATCTCTTATGGTAGATTAAAAAGTCTACAATCTATTCACTTTTTTTGTTTTTTCTTTCTTTTTTCCCATGAGTGTATATCTTGAGGCTACTGCGTCTAATTCGGTTAACCTAGATTCTTGAACGAAATCGAATTTCGTAGTTTTCCAAAAATGTTGTTGTATTTGTGCTTAATGCCTTAATTTCCTTGTAAATGCCTCATAATCAATCAACTCATGCAGCACATTTCGTGTTTATGGAGCTTGGAGTTAAAATTCTTGACTGGATAAGTCAAACAGAAATAGGGTTCAAGAGGCAAAGCTTGCAAAAATTTCTTCTGAATATTAATTTAAGTTATTGATGTGTTACATACTTCAAATACTTAGCAATATATATATATATATATAATGGTATCGGTCTTCAAAATATATAAGTAATATAAACATCAAGTTTTAAATATTATTGTATATATATACGTGAAGACGAGGAAAAAAAAAAGATACCAAATCATTTCTACTTCATATCTCCATATATAAACAAAAGATTTCAACTCTAAGCAAGAGATAAATATACGGCAACAAAAAAAAAAGCAAGAGATAAATAAATATTAGTCCGAAGACAAATATAACTACATCAATATGCAATTTGAGAACCATTTTTTGGCATCAATTTTTGATTCACAGATCTCGCACCAAATTTGGAGATTTGTTGTGTCTTCCTCCTCGCCGTATAGCAAAGAGTGAGTGGATGGCCATCATATTTGTAGTGTGCCACACAAGGTATAGTGGCGCGTTCGAGACACAAGAGAGACTTGCTCTTAACAAGTTCTAGAAGAGAATCTGAAAAAGCAAAAGGTTTCACAGGCCATGCAAGTACCAGAGGTAAAACTGAAGAAAAATGGGTGGTCATGGCTGCCATGGTAGAAAGGATCAGGTAGTAAAGGGCATCTTGCGTCTAGTTGAAACTTACAACCTTCTTCTCCGCACTTGTACAAAAAAAAAAAAAAAACCACAGCTTTTTCGGTAACAAGAACTACACCGGAACGTACCTTCATCATATTCCTCAAACCAAAGTTTGCGGTGATCAAGAGGGAACGGGTTTCGCAAGATAAGCGAGTGTTTGTGTTGGAGATATTTTTTTTTTTTTTGGGGAAGGCATGCACATGCTTCATGAAGTATGTAATCACACTGCATGCAACCATAAAACTCCTCGGAAAACATTATGGAAGGATACATGCCTGACAAAACTTGTTTCCTTGATCTCTACGGTAATTGGCATTAACGCAATGGAGACTTAGATGATGGTCAGGACTGAAATGTTTTTTAGTCGCTTCATCAATCCTTGTGAATGGCTCAATATCTTTAAGAGTTTCTTTGGGTACTCCTTCGAGATCTTTACCATCGTCCCATTTACTCCCACATGTCATCCCTTGTCGACATTTACACGACATAATTAAAGACATCCTTTGTTACAAGAATATTTCCCGTGGTTGACGCTAACGCTTAGGCGACAAAATCTACAAGGGACATCATTAGCAGAATGGAAAGAAGTGAGAGAGAGACGGTGTGGGTGACGTGTAAGCTTAATGATGCGAGGTAAGTAGATACAATGTCTATCGACTAAGTAGCTACAAGGGAAATAAGCGTAAACAAAATCTTTGGGGTCCTGGAGAAATGCTCCACAAGCATTACAGGGCAAATGGACTTGTGTTTGAAAGAGGGTGAGAGTGTGTTTGTGGTTTTTAAGATGTGATTTAGTAAGTTGTGGTGGCTGTCTAGAACACATCATGTCTATGCTGAAGTTACATTTGTAACAACACTTGCATTTTCCAACGTTAGCATCATCATCATCACTATCACTTTCGGATGCTTCTGAATCCATGGATTCATCTTTCCAGAAACGGGCTAGAAATGTTGAAACCAGGATGTGGAGACAAAAGTGAGAAGGTGGGAAAGATGAAAAGGGTGTGTGATTTCTGGTGGAAACAAGTGACAACCTTTATTGAATTCTAAATTGCAAGTAGCACAGAAGTAATAGTACTTACTTCCCTCCAAGTGGTCGCCTTTGCATGCGGAACAAACAGAGAGTGGAGGATCATATCGTCGACAAAGTGTGTGAGGCTTAGTCAGATTCGACAGACGACATGTAGGTTATGATGAGAATAAAACTTGGATGCTTCCATGGGTTTCCTAGAACTAGAAGAAACAAAGCAATTGAGAGTGCAGGTAAAGTTTTAAACCAAAATATATTTTAGGCTCTTTCTTTTGGCTTTGTTTTTTCTGTATTAGGTTATCGTCAGCGTTTATTTATCATTAGAGCTGGTAAAGTCAGCTTTTGTAGTTAGACCATTATTATCCCTATAATCCCAAATGGGTTTTTTAACAGTTTCTAATTATTAATTATGGGTTAAGAACCCATCTTAAGAAACTAATTATTTTTAATGGTGCATTGGTAAAACCTCAGTATTTTTCTGATGATGTTGTGCATCCTTCCAGCGACGCTGAAGAAGTAATGAAAATATCACCTGATAACCAAAGTCTACGGTCATGGAGAAGAATTTTTTTTTTTTGAGAATCCGTTTGATGATGAACGGAGAAAAGACAACGATCAACGCTAGTAAGCTACGATGACACTGATCTGCGCCTTGGAAAGCAGCGACGGCCGTTTAATTGGACCGACGGTGAGCTTCGTTTGCTGCTCGACGAACTCAGCCATGGATTCCGCTAAACGAGAGTAATCTGACTGGTCCATTTGACCGGATTCGTCGCAGGGGTTCGATGTCAAAGGACTAACGAGACGGATGTGAGGAAGAGCGTTGATGCCGAAGAGCTGGAACGACGATTGAGACTTCGAAAACTCGATCTCGCAGAAGAAAAGCTTGGTTCCCTGAGATCCATTGTTGTTGGCGAGGAAGGAAGCGGAGACGATGCCGCGACGGAGCTCCTGAAGACGAAGCTCACTTTTGCTGTGTAGCTGAGTGGCATCGAAGAAGACGAGTATGGAGTAAGGACAAGGAGTTGAAACGGAGGTGAGGAATTTGGATATTCCATGGTCGTGGAGACGGATTACGCCTGATTTCTGAGACAAAAGTTTTAGAGCATCTCTACTAGTGTTACCTATATTAGATTTCTTAAAAATAATTTATTAATTTTTTAAGAGTTAGAAAAAGTTAAGAGACTAATGTGTTTTTTCTTCTCCACTAGTGTTCCCGTATTTGGAATTATATACCTTTCTTCTTCTTCATCCCCAAGCATTTTCGATGCTGAAGTGATCGCTTGAACAAATTCTTGGAAATCGATACAACTGTCACCATCTCGATCTGCTTCCCTGATCATCCCCGTTAATCCGCCGCTGTAATGTAATTGTTCCCACCGCCGTAATCTAACCGTTCAGAGAACTCGATCATTCCGTTGTTATTCCGATCTGCTTTGTGGATCAGAGTATCGAGTTGGTCTTGACTCGGCTTTAGACCGAGAGATCTGAGAAGAGAGGCGAACTCGAGCTCCCTCAAACTCCATCCTTGTTCTGGTTAAATGATCGGAAAATCTCTGGGAGCTCTGCTAATTGCTCGTCGCCTAGTTTCCCCGGCACCGGCGAAGGCTTGTCTCTGTCTCCTTTCATCTTTCTCCTTCAAGTAGCGGATCCGATTTGGAATTTTATAAGTTTTGTCCAAATCGAAAAAAATCATTCCAAAAAAAAAAAACATTAAAAACATATATGAAAAACAGCCACTCACAGCTTTCCACGTGGCCTAAGAGATAATCTCTTCCAACTCTTAAATAAAGAGCGCTTCATAGCAATTTAGAGCATCTGCAATGGTTACTTCTATATTTTATTCTAAAAATAGAGTTTTCTGTAAATAAAAAAGGAGTTTACTGCAATGGTTGCCTCTATATTTAACTGTAAATCTTATTATTAATTGCTCAAAGAACAATGCTCTTTACTACGATTTTTTGATTTATGTTATTAAAAAAAAGAATCCAGTTGTAGTTAAGACCAAATCGGTAAATACACCTTATTTTTTTTTTTTTGTCAAATACACTCTACTTTTTTTTTTGTCAAATACACCCTACTTTTAATCTCCTTTTTATTTAGACAAGCATTTTTATCAACCTGTAGTTAAATCATAAGAGTCTTATGATAAGACTAACACTACTTAAGTTAATTAAGCCGGCTTCTCAAGATCTCAAGTACTACTAGTAATTTTCTACAAAGTGGTGCCACTTGATTGAGATCTACAAATTTTTGTTTTCCATGAAGTAAACATCAACTCGACAGAATATCTAGAAACAAAACAAAATCTTTCAATTGACCCAAAAAAAAATTGCTTAAACTTTCCAACAAATTACCTTCTATTAAGAGTTAGTTTTGCAGATTAACAGGTTTTCGGCCACTACAAAAGGCCCAAGCCAGTTTGATACACAATAAGTAGTGAAGGTAAGGGCTTATTTGGCTATTCGACCAGCCACTTGATTCGCCTGGCGAGGTAGTAAAATATAAGGAGATTAGGTACTGAACTGAACAGACGTATGGTGAGGATGTGCCATTCTTTGACAGGGTTTGTAATATATGCACCCAATATTTGTTGTCGTCTAAGAATTGATATTTAACACCAAGAGTTTATGCACGATTTTCGGTGACTGCATTCTTTTTTTTTGCAAACTGAAATTTAGAAAATTTGACATCCCCACAACGCCAAGATCATAAAATGAACACTGACTGTATAGTCTGCAAAGCTGTTCACGATACTCGTAGTTCGGTTCAGATTTAGTAATATTCGAAAGTAAAAATGCAAAAATTTGCTTTACTTATATAGTTGTTTTGAGGAAGTAACTCTCTATACTCGTGGGGATTACTCGTCCTTGTATCTCTTCTCTGCTTCTTCCAAACGCTCCAGGTCCTTGTTGTACTTGCAGATACGGTAGATGCACCTGTCAATGAAAATACAAGAAATATCAGTGGATTACACGAGTGACTGTGTGTTTGTATGACTAATAATAATGGCTGATGATGTTACCAGTAGAGAAGTATTCCTGCAGCGCACAGAACCACATTCCTCTGAGCCTTGTAGATCTGTGGTAAACATGCAAAACACACAACTCGTTTAGTAAGCAAGCATGAGGAATTTTTCAGATGGAAGGAGAAGAAACTAGGGATGATCTAACTATCCGAGAGTTGGAAATTGATTCTGGCGACTGCAACTACATACCAAAAAGGTTTCGATGTAATGCTTTTCCATGAATATTACAGCTTGAGTGATAATTAATGACCAAGAATCAATTGCTAATAGATTCACAAGAACATTGTGCCATTTTCCTAAACACAAGCCCATGTTACTATTTGTGACAGTAGCTAGAGCAATGATTTTTAAGGAGATATGAGCACATCAATGAGAGACCTAAAAAGATTCATTCTTGACCTTGAGAGAGTAATATCTATACAACTTGCTTAAACAATGAGAGCCAAATTCACAGATATTTTAGCTACAATCTTGGTTTTCAGATCAAAGAGAAGAGAAATTAATCAAGATAATGCTATCAACCTAACAATTTACAGTTCACAAAGTTTCAGAAACCTAGAATTCAGCTGTAGTATCAAAGACTAAATTAGCAAATTACAATTCCAATTGGCACTTACAGATTTCTCGTAGCGATCCCGCTCTGTAGCAGTGCATACCTCAGATGAACAAGAAAGTCTATGCTCACTCTTCCAGTAAATATCTAAAAGAAACGAATGAAATCAAACTAAAATTAGCATCAATTCGAATTCCGAATAAGAAATATAATAATCAGATGATAAACAAAAACTCAGAATCGATTGAGAGAGATGTGGTTACCGAGGAGCTGAAATCCGGCGAAAGCGACGATGGAAGCAGCAGGTTGGAGAATAAGAGAGACAAGTGATACGACACGTTTCTTCACAAGCATAGGGTATGGGAGAGTCAACACGACGGCGATTACAACTTCTGCGGCCACCACATACGACAGAATCAACCATTGCAAAGCCATCTTTTTCTTCTTCTTGACCTCTCTCTGTGTCTTCTTTCTCTTTCGTGCGAAGTAGACGAAGAATATAGACGAACCGTGTGCCTGTGACACGTATTTTGTTTCTTACTAATTAATTCATTTTTTTACTTGTTGGGCTCACCTCCGGCCCAATATTACCATATATCGATTTGATCCCAATTTTCCGGTTCAGTTCGGTTTAGCGGGTTGAGTTTCGGTATTCCGCTGCTTCTTCTTCTTCGTCTTCTTCTTTCCTCTCTGCTACTGTTGAGTGTTGGACTCTTAAAGTTTCAATTCGTCTATTCTTTCTTTCCCTATGTGAGCTTCTCTGATTCTCAAGTTTAGCTCTCCTTGAAAGCTAGCACTATGGTTCCTCCGGCTAAGAAATTTATCAATAACCCGAACGGTTCGTTCTCACTCGCCTTCTTCTTCGTTCTCCTTTTGCGTTTCCCTGTTTTAGAATCGTGAGTTCTATGTTTTGGACGGTTGATCTCAGTAATTTTTCAAATTTTCGGATGAGAATTTTGCATGGTGACCTACCTAATATATCCAAATGCGTTACTGTGTCTCTTCACATTGCACGATTATTGGTATTTTCTTCTTCTTCTTCTTCCCCTCGTTTCGGCTTTGCGATTTTCAAATTTCTGCTACTCCATTGTATGTCTGGCCGTTTCGTTTTTTGACGAATGGAGAATTGGATGAGAACGGAGCATCTAAAATTCAGAGTATTTTCTGGATTTCGTTCCATGCACTTGAAATACCGATTGCAAGAGAGAAATATCATAAGCTGTTTCTCTTGTTACTGTGCAATGGCAGATGTTGCAACCGAGTTCATCAAGGGTCTGGTCGAGACGTATCCTGGGCTTCAGTATTTGGATGGCCTTCCTAAGGTTATTAAATATCTCACCACTGTTCGATTGTGCAAAACCTCGGCTTATTCAGACGATTGAATGTTTCCATGACTTCACAGGTTAAAGTTGTTCTGCGAGCTGATGTCTCCGCTGCAAATTATGACAAGGTTTCCGTTATATCAGGTAGGAGTTTCTTGTCCAAATCTTCTTTCTGTTTGATTGAGTTTAGTTTCGTTTCTCGTGTTATGCAATGCCATTTTCTGAAACAGGAGGGGGAAGTGGGCATGAACCAGCACAAGCTGGGTACGTTGGAGAAGGAATGCTAACCGCAGCTATTTGCGGAGATGTTTTTGCTTCACCACCCGTTGATTCCATCCTAGCTGTTAGTCTTCCCAGAGTTTTCTCTTCGTCTTTTTCTTCTCTTGAGGCTTTCAAGTGAATGGTGGAGATTTTGTGTAAATCCAGGGGATTCGAGCTGTAACTGGTCCGATGGGATGCCTCTTGGTTGTCACGGTACTTAGATCATGGCTAGAGAGATGCATATGTGTATCAATAGCTTTGAAGAATTGTGAATTATATCTCTCAATGTGTTTGGCTGATCTAGCTTCTCCTCTAACTCTATTTGAAAGAACTATACTGGTGATCGCTTGAACTTTGGCCTAGCAGCTGAGCAAGCAAAAACCGAGGGCTTCAAAGTAGAGGTAGTTGTCCGTTTATTGTTTAGAATTTGGTAAGAGTATTAGTAAATAGAATGACATGATCGATATTGTAGACTGTGATCGTTGGAGATGATTGTGCTCTACCCCCACCGCGTGGCATAGCTGGACGCAGAGGTTTAGCGGGAACTATTCTTGTCCATGAGGTTCTCAGTCTTCCTTCATTCTAAGCTAGCTTGTCGTAGCAGCTTTTGCAGTCGATGATCCTCATATTGTTTACTATTTTGATTTCTTAAATTTGCCTCATACAGTTTATTTCTTATTGTTATTGGTCACGGATAGGTTGCTGGAGCAGCAGCTGCTGCTGGACTTTCTTTAGCAGAAGTTGCGGCAGAAGCAAAGCGTGCATCTGAGATGGTTGGGACCATGGGTGTTGCACTATCTGTTTGTTCACTTCCGGGACAAGTTACATCAGATCGTTTGGGTCCAGGGAAAATGGAGCTTGGGCTTGGAGTTGTATGTTGTTTCATTTCTTGTTTGCTTCTATGCCATAGGAAAGAGATAGCTCCCATCATTGCTGTTTCTTGTATCTTTGACTTTTTTTTCTTGCTGTCTTGAACTTTTCTTTCAGCATGGGGAACCTGGCGCTGCTGTGGTCGACATTCAACCTGTGGATGTTGTAGTTTCCCATGTTCTTCAACAGATACTGAGTCTAGTATGTGCGCTACTCCTGTTTTCTATGCTGAAATTTCTTCTTTCCATAAATATCTTCCGGTTATTGACCTACTGTCTCCAAAATATTAGCATTAGAAAATACATGTATCGTGTTTCATTCATTGGCCTATGCATTCATTCTAACTGCAGGAGACTAGTTATGTTCCAATTACACGTGGTAACAGTGTAGTTCTGATGGTTAATGGGTAAGCTTGTATATTCCATCTTCCTATATAGGTGATCCTTGTACGTATTTTCACCATACTATGTACCCACTTTTATCTGAATATTTAGCCAGTGAATGTTTTTATTTTTTTTTCTTGTTGTTTTGCAGCTTAGGTGGTACCCCTCTAATGGAACTTATGATTGCTGCTGGAAAAGCAGTCCCTAAATTACAGTTGGAATTTGGACTTGCCGTTGATAGGGTGTATACTGGATCATTTATGACCTCTCTTGATATGGCAGGTGATCGTTTATTGTTGTGTTGTGTCTATGTAGAGTTACCGGTTTTATGTTGTTGCTCTTATACTCCTTCCTTCCTTCCTTCTCAGGGTTCTCGATATCGATCATGAAGGCTGACCAGTCAATTTTAGAGCGTTTGGATGCTCCGACCAAGGCTCCTAGTTGGCCAGTTGGCACAGATGGTCTGTGTGATATAGTTAAATTGTCTTTCTTGTGGAACTTAGATTGTAAATTCTTCATTCTGTATCATTATTTGGTTCTGTCTTTGTGGTTTTCTATCTTGTGTCATTTCAACGTTGGATTTCCCCTTTTTGCTGAGCTCAACACAAATTTCCCTCTTCAGGGAACCACCCACCAGCAAAGATCCCCGTTCCACTGCCTCCCTTCCGATCAACAAAAAGCAAAGAGGTTAGTATTAGGCTTGCTAAAAATCGATGCTTAGAAGATCTTCAATGAGATATGATCATCTTTTTGTCAGTTTCATAAAAATTTGCCAGTAAATAATGGCAACTTCCAATTGGTGATATTAGTCTCTAAGCCGACCTCAAGAACTTAGTCAACAAGGTCGAATTCTTGAGGCAGCTATTGAAGCAGCAGCGACTGTGGTCATCAGTCTGAAGGATAGTTTGAACGAATGGGATGGAAAAGTAGGTGACGGGGACTGTGGATCAACAGTAAGTCCGGTTGTGAAATGTTGTTTAACGCAAAACTTTGCATTGCGCATGTCATAAAATCTTATGCATGCTTCGCCATTCATAGATGTGCAGAGGCGCAACAACGATTCTTGAGGACATGAAGATGTAGTGAGTCACTTTACTCTTTAACTCCATTTTACTTCTTCTGTTCCTCTGTTTAGCGGGATTGTTTCTTTACCATTTGATCCCTCTGTTTCTCTGTTCTCTAGTTATCCGCTCAATGATGCTGCCGAAACTGTGAATGAGATTGGTTCATCGATCAGAAGAGTCATGGGAGGAACAAGCGGAATAATGTAAATCGATGTATTTATTCTTGACAAGTCTTTTTCTGTACAAATGGTCATCCATTTGTGCAACTACTGATAAACTGTCTAATGTGAATTAACAGTTACAGTCTCTTCTGCAAGGCTGCATACGCGGAGTTAAAAGCTAATGGTCAGCCAGAAATCACTCCCAAAGACTGTAAGATAACGTTTCTTGCACTGGCATTAGTTATTTCCAAAAGGCACATGTTGGCCCTATGAATTTGATTTCCGCTTGAATAGGGTCTGAAGCACTCAAGTCATCTATCTCTGCTGTCGATAAATACGGTGGAGCAACTGCGGGTTATAGAACGATGTTAGATGCGCTCATCCCAGCTTCGAAAGTCCTTGAGGAGGTGATTGATCAATAGTTTTACTCTCACCGAAGATGGATATTTGTAAAATACTGATGAGCTTTGGTTTGATTGTCACTTGTGAGCAGAAACTGAGTGTTGGAGAGGACCCTATTTCTGCTTTTGTTCTGTCTGCTGAAGCTGCAACTGCAGGAGCTGAATCAACCATTAAAATGCAAGCACAGGTGAGGTTTAATGAATTCTATGTGCTAGAGGATGCGTAATATCTTTTCATCTGATCTTATGGTTGAGATTGGAGGACAGGCCGGGAGATCAAGCTATGTATATGTTGAGATTCTTGCATCAACTCCTGATCCTGGCGCAATGGCTGCGGCGGCATGGTACAGCGCCGCTGCAAGAGCCGTGAAAGATCAGACCCACGGGTCATGATCCGATGGACTAGACTCTGTGAGAGGTTATTACGAGCTGTGTTGATTTGAATTCTTGTGTTTGTTGGCTCAGGGGTCGTTTATTATCTAATGTTTGTGAGTTCTGACTCTGTGATCATATGCAACAAATGAGTTTGGATTCTGAATAATCGCATCTCAGATTGCATTTTGCTCTGGCCATCGGTTACGCCTTTGTATCCTTTGTCCATCGCAACCCGACCGTCTGTCAACGCACCAATTCATAAGCTTCAATGTGCCAAACTCATAGATTGAGCTTATCTTCAAGGTTACAATGTCATGGACCCTAGACCAAATCTAAAAGCACATCACTCTAGATTGCTATAACATTCCACAACAAAGCATAAAGAGTAAAATAACTATCCAATACTATATAGATTATTCACTTACTTCTTAAGACTAGTCACAATCCGTTCTTTCTCACAAGTCCCAACTCCCAAGTGCTTTATATACACTGTCCAGCCTCTGTGAAGAAACACAGATGCTGAGTCAACATACCGATCCAACCAGACACCTGCATTACTTTACACACCATCATTAGACATCCACTTCTATTGCTTATTTACTTGGATACTAATTTTTGAGAATTCAGACCATTCGTATGGACCAAAGCTAGCTTATTGATTACAGACCATCTACAAGCCGGCTTTCCACCAGAAACTGCCCTGATTAAATCTCAGAGCCACCCACGCTTTTTCCCACGGATCAAATCATCATCATATATATATATATTATTATATTATATATATCATAAGCGAAGTAAAAATTTCGTTTAAAGCTTTCTCATTCAATCTCAGGGTGGCTAATTACCCTTTACCCTTTTTAAATTTGTTTTGATTATTTTTAAAAAAAAGTAGAAAAACAAAAAAAAAATTGTTTAAATCTAAAATATAAATCATGATTAAAATATAAGTTGTAATATTAAAAAAATCTAAATTCACGATTTTATCTGAATAATAAAACATAAATAAAATATGTTGTTAATATTAAATATTATTCACGATTTAATTTCTAAACAATATTCTATAACAGAAAATATGTATCTTATCTAACAGAAAAATATGTTGGTTTTAATATTTAATATTAATATTTAATAGTATTCACGATTTTATTTCTAAACAATATTCTATAACAGAAAAATATGTATCTTATCTAACAGAAAAATATGTTGGTTTTAATATTTAATATTATTTGTTACATGGAAAATTATTTTGTTTCATGGAGTTTTTTACCAACACTGCGAAAGTTAATACTTACTATACAGTCTAATGTATATTTATTAGAATAAGATGAAGACAAATAAGAAGACAAAGATAAACCAGAGGACTTGTTTTCAAGCTAATGTTTATTTATTCAATATAATGTGAAAATAAATAAGTAAAAAGATGAAGATAAGCGAAAGAAAAAATGGAAGAGTAATATAACTAAAAGATGGATACAATGAATAATGAGAGGGAAGAAAATCTGGAAGAAAAAATAGAAAAGAAGTCGGAGGAGACGAACACGATGAAGAAGTAGAAGAAAAAACGGAAGGAAGAAAAAAAAAATTAAAAAAAAAGAAGTAGAAGAATAAGAGGAAAAAAATCAAAACATAAAGAAAAATACAAAGTTGATGACAAAGAAGTAAAAAAAAACGAGAAAAAAGACAAACAAAAAGTCGTGATTAAGAAGAAGAAAAGAGACAGTGTTGAAGAAGACAAGAATAATTAAGGTGAATAGGAAAGAGATGAAGAAAAAAGAGTAGAAGAAGAAGAATTTGGATAAAGATGTCTAATAAAAACTAAAAGAAGAACAAGAAAAAAAAACTCAAAGAATACAAAATGATGATGAAGAATTCAAAGATGATGAAATAGAAGTAGGAAAGTATGTGGAAGAAAAGAAAACAAAAAAAATAAAGAAGAAGAAGAAGAAGAAGACATAAGAGAAGAGGAAAAAGATGTAGAAGTCAAACGCGATGATGACGATGAAAGAAAAATATGAAGAATAAAAAATGGAAATATAGATTTAAGAAGAGAAAGAACACAAAGAAGTAGAAGACGAAGACGATGAAGAAGAAGAAAGAAAAGATGGGGAAGAAGAAAATCCAAAAGGTGAATAAGAAGAAGAAGCAAAAGCTGAAATTTATGAAGAAAGGGAATAAGGAAATGACGAAGAACAATAAGAAAAAAATGTTAAAAAAGTAAAATATATAGGACAATACAAAGATGTTAAAGGATTTTTACAAGAAAAACCGTAAGAAGAAGAACAAGAAGACAAATGACTTAAAATGGGAGGAGAAGAAGAAGAAGAAGAAAACCATAAATAGAAGACTTTAAAAAGAAAAATATAGGAAAAAAACTAGATGAATACCTTATTGAGGATAATGTAAATGAGGAAACATTTGGAGATTTATGATTTTGGAGGCACTGAAAAAGAAGATGAAAAATTTAGAAAAAAAGAAGAATAGTCGAAAGAAAAAGAAAAAAAGAAGTCAAAGAAAAAGAAAAAAAACTTATAATATTTATGTATTATTCATGCATATGTGATAATATATTTTTTTATAGTTCATTTCATATATAAACCATGACAGACATATATAATCTGTTTTATTTTTTTTAAAAAGATAAAAAATATATTTAGTAAGAATAAATATTTTCGAATGATACCGTTTACTCTATTTTAATTCAAACTAGATTTTAACCCCGTGCGTCCGCACAGGAATGTTTTATTTTTTATTTCTAATATAAGTTGTATTTATTTTTTTGTTTAGATATAATTTATTTTTGTTATTTATTTTTTTAAATCAAAAAATTGTTATCATATTTTAAACAGTAAAATTTGTAAATTAGTAGAATAAGAGTATACATTAATTAAGTATACATTGATCTAATGTTAATTATAAACTTTGTTATTATGTGAATTTAGATTTACACATAAACAATCTATATATCTATGAATTTGCTAATCCATCCGTTTAGTTGTCTTAAATCATTTTTAATATCTTACATATTTTGACAAACTAACCCGTATAAAACTATAATTATAATTGTATAACCCTATAAATATTTACTAATATGGAATATTTAGACCAATTGATTATGAAAAAATATAATAAGATATTTATTTACTATTTGTGCTATTAAAAGAATATATATATATATATATAAACAGGCTAACCTGTTAGTTTAATTGTCTCAAATCATCTTAATATCTTACATGTTTTAATAAATTAACTCATGGACCTTATATATATATATATATAACTCTAATCAGCTCGATCATATTATTGTATAATATAAATATTTATTAATCTCAAATATTTGATATTTTAGACCGAATGTTTATGATAAAATACGATAAAATATTTATTTACTATGCATTTTTATAAGAATATTATTTAAATTTAAAATTTTAAATTAAATCTTTCCTGTATTTAAGAAATTCTAAAGTATTAAAATTATTATCTAAATTTTTGTAATAAAATTTAATTATATTTTTTTGAATTTTTTGAATTTAAATTAAATTTAATGCAAATTTTTGTAACTAAATTTAATTAAATTTCTAATAATTTGAAATTTAAATTAAAGATGACCTAGATTTTAGGAAATCTAAAAATATCTAAATTAATAACTAATTTTCGGAAATTAAATATAAAAATAAAATAAAATATTATAAAAGAACTTTGGGAGTGTTTGGATGCAACCATATTTATCTCAATAACACAAATGATGCAAGATGACAGTTTGATATTTTCAACACATTCTCAAAATTTACAAAAATATAGTGACAGATTCCATCAATTGGTTATGTTTTAATTAATAAGACTTTCTATCCACGCAAGGCGCGGACAACTACCTAGTCGTATGTAAACCGACAGAAAACCATAATTTATTTTTCCAGAAACTCTATTTTTTTTCCTGTTTACATTTTTTTTTCGGGAAACCTATTTTCCTTCACGTTATGGATATAAAATAGGGTAGCCAGGTCTCTTAACATAGCTAGGTTTCTCTAGGTCTTCTACTGCTAACATGTCTCTCTCCTTCCGATCAGCAATCATGAATTCAGTTTCCATCCCTTTTGATCTCATCAGACAGACACTCTCGAGATTGCCCGCAAAGTCACTCGCGAGGTTTCGTTGCCTGTCGAAGCTATGGGGTTCCACGCTTCTCCGACCAGATTTCACCAAGTTGTTCCTGACCAGGTCCTCGGCTCAGCCGCGTATCTTATTTGCCATCGAACAAAAGGGTCTTTGGAGCTTCTTCTCGTTGCCTCAGCGTCAGATTCCATATGAGTCTTCGTCGTCATCGTCTCTTGTAGTAGCCGCCGCAGAGTTTCATATGAAGTTCCCTCCAGACAATATGCGGATATATTATCGTAGTGACCGACGATTTGCATGTGGCTATGCCTCTGGTTTGATCTACCTCTATGGTATGTACCTCAAAAGAGATGATTACGATGGAGTCCCTGTGATATGTAACCCTATAACGGGACAGTATGCGACCTTACCTTACCTCATCAGGTACAGAAGGGTGTATAGCTTTTTAGGGTTTGATCCGATTGACAGGCGATACAAGGTATTGTTCATGGCTTGTCCATATGGTCCTGATCATCATAGAATTCTGTCATTAGGAACTGGACAAAGGAGGTGGAAGAAAATCAGATGTTCCTTAAGACATGAGGGTGTGAGTGAAGGGATATGCATCAATGGGGTTTTATATTACTTGGGTGACACTTCTGAGAGGATGACTAAATTTGTGATAATTTGCTTTGATGTTAGGTCTGAGAAATTCAGCTTTATTTACCCGGAAGGCTTTTGTGAACTGATTAACTATAATGGTAAATTAGGTGTGGTTTATTATGATGATAACGCTGGTGATGTCGTTGTGTTTCGTGTGTGGGTTCTAGAGGATGCTGAGAAACAGGAATGGTCGAAATACGCCTACGTTTTGAGGGATGATATGTTCTTGGCTCATTACGTTTCCGTCGTTGGAGTGATTGCTACAGGTGAGATTGTTTTGTCGATGGGAGATTATACATCTAAAAAACCGTTTTATGTTTTCTACTTTAACCCCAAAAGGAACACTCTTCAACGTGTTGAAGTCCAAGGTTTTGGAGATTATCATGAAGCGTTGGACAAACCTAGTAGAGTCCACGTCTTTGTAGATGACTGTAGCAGATTCTACGCCTTGGCAGACCAATTAGGGGATCTTAATGTTAACGATCCAAAGCTACTCAACTCAAGCATCTATGTTCCATACACGAAGACAAAAGAAGAAGTATCAGATGACTTAGAAATGGAAAGAATAAACAGAGAAGGTATATATCCACCAGATGGATATGCATATGGATTTGGAGATAATGCTGGATATGGAGAAGGATATGAAGATGAAGATGAAGAATATAATGAAGAAGAAGAAGAAGAATATGATGAAGATGAAGATGAAGAAGAAGGAGAAGAATATGATGAAGATGAAGATGAAGAAGAAGGAGAAGGTAGTGGCGATCATTAAAGTTAGGTGAAAGCAATGAGCATGTCATTTTGTGCTCTTATCTATGCGTTTTAAACTCTTTAGTTAGGTACTTATGTACCCTTTTATGAGTACCCGCGCGTTTTCTTTAATTTGATATATTCAATAATTTTGTGTTTTGTTTTTTTGTTTTTTTTGTTTTTCAATTTGTTGAGTATTTTTTATTTTTGTCTTTGATGTGTTCAAGTGGAGATTTAGGAAATATTTCTCATCATGTTTTTCTTCAGAAGGTTTAGACTTTAAATTTACTAATATCTATTCTATTAAAACAGAAGCACATTTAGTACTTGCTTCCAAACAGTCCTAATTTTTAAGTGTTTAAAAATAATTTTAATAATAATTTATATTTAATTTCGAAAATTAGTTATTAATTTAAATATTTTTAGAGTTCCTTAAATATAGGTAATTTAGATTTGATTTGATTTGATTAAAAATAATAAATAAGATATTAATTTAGATTTGATTTAAAGATTCTAATTTAAATAATTTCTATACTATTAAACATTTTTATCAAAAATGTGTAGAATTTTTGAAAAAAATAATAATTCACATATGTAAAATAATGGTCATAATTGAAATATAAAATATTTATAATGATTTAAATGATATGATATTTATGTTGCTTATATAATATATTTACGATTATGATTTATTTACAAATTAATAATAAAATAATATGTAAAATTTAAATGTATAATTTATATTAAAAATATATTTTTTTAAAATTCATAAATACAAAAATATCAAAAATATTTTGGTAACTAAAATCATTAATTTTAAATTATACATGTATATCGAAAATATATTTTTCATACAAAATAAAAACATAAAAAAATAAAAATTATTGCATACACTAAAATGTGGTTTGAAAAACCAGTTGTACACTCCTTTCGGTTGATTAAATTTTAGAAAACTATAATACTAAATAATACTGTTAATACATCTCAAACTTTTAACAAATATTTATATTATACGGTAATATGAACGGAAAATTTAGAATTATGTTTGTATAATAGTTCATTTTGAATTAATATTAGCGGACGGGTTAAAATTATATTTTTATAATCATAATTAATTTTAATACTATATAAATATATCTAAACACAAAAATCAATATTTTCACTTATTAAAAATATATTTATAAAAATAATTATATCTAAACTCAAAAACACAAATTATATTACAAAATTCGTTAAACAATAAAAAATATTTCCGTGCGAATGCACGAGGTTAGAATCTAGTTACTCATTAGTTTTGTTCTCATCGCTTTTCTCTTCGAGGTTTTTGCTAAAAATAACCTAAAACTTAACTTTGAATACAAAAGTATACCCCTGAAAAAATATTTGGCAGAAATAACCTAAAAAGATAGTGAAAAGATCATTTAATCCTGTATGAGTAAACAAAAAACGGATGTCCTAATTACCGTTTACACCCTGACGAAGTCTACTAAAGAGAGAAAGAAGTCTAATAGTAGATTTCTTTTATCGAAATGAAGTCTACTAAGTAACTAAATCTGGAAATTTAATTTTAAAATTTAGAAAAAATTATTTTGGTATCAAATTTATATTCATAAATTCCGTAATCGTAACCCAAATGTACAAAAATTATTTTTTCATATTGCTAAATGGAAATTTATGTTTTTAAATTAAGTAGAAGAAAATTTATTATTTAGGTTAATTTATTGAAGTCTGCTAAACCAAATAAATTAATCTAACCAAAATTTAAACCAAAATTAAACCGGGAATAACTTCTCTTAACCAAGAAAAACTGCCCGTAACCGGGTAAATTTACCTAGTCCCCGTAAAATTATTAACCCTAACCGAAAAAACTTACCCGACCGAACGAAATTACCAGACTATATAAAAGAATTTTACAGATCCCGTAAAAAAAACCGTTGAAAGTTTGTGTTTTAAAAAAAAAAGTCGAAGGCGATTTCTGTTTCTCTTCTCCGGCGCCGCCGACTTACAGAACCGCCGCCGATAAACCAGTTCAGGCAAGTTTTCTTCCTCCAACCACACCCCCATGCTTCCCTACTCCTCCGTATTCATCACCTTTCCGTTTTCGTAACTACCAGTGTCCAGATCTGAAATTAGGGTTTTTTTTTTTTTTTTGCAGATCTGCTTTCGTCGCTGGAGGTTAACGTCATTTCCTGCCTCAAAACGGTTAGTAGATGTCCTTCCGAAGATATATACTTAGCTATTCTTCTATTTCTTCTATCTTCCTGTAATTTTGTCCATTGGGTTTGAGTACTTAGGTTTTTTTTCCCAGATCTGGTTGTATTTTCTCGACGCCGGCTTCATCTAATCACGGCTGTAAACACTATAAACTTTGTAGATTCTATTTGGATGATTGGTTTTAGTAGACTTCATATACAGTATTTATCATGTATTGATTGCTTCGGTTGGGTTCAGTAGACTGTATATGTAGTATTTATGATGTTTTGATTGCTTCATATGGCTTCCGTAGACTTCATATACTGTTTTTTTTGATGTTTTGATTGCTTCGGTTGGCTTCAGTAGACTTCTCGACTCGGATTGTATTTAGAATGTGAAAGTAGACTTCCTTTGGCAAAAGTAGACCTCCTTTGGCAAAAGTAGACTTCATTTTGCAAAAAAGTAGACTTCATTTTGTAAAAGTAGACTTCATGTTGCAAAAGTAGACTTCATGTTGCAAAAGTAGACTTCATTTTGTAAAAGTAGACTTCATTTTGAAAAAGTAGACTTCATTTTGAAAAAGTAGACTTCATTGTATCAAAAAGTAGACTTCATTTTGTAAAAGTAGACTTCATTCGTGTATAGTTTCAAACCGTGAGTTATAACTAGCTTTTCTCATTAGAGCTTTGTTACCGTTGATGCAAAAATCTGTGTTAGATAATGGTGGCCTTTGAATTCCCTAGAAGACTGTACACCAAAGGCGGTGAGCCAGCCCCGGATAAAAGCATCGGCTATTATGCTTTTTAATTATAGGCTGGTACCTGCACTACAGTCATCTCTACAAGAGGATGAATGGGAAGAGATTTACGAGTCACCGTTGGGTGTCTTTTTAAAGTTCCACGACTTGGATTTTGGTTGGACTTCTAGGCTGGTGCACCACATGCTGACCTTTCAGATAGTTTGCAAGCAGAGGTACGAGATATGGAGCCTGATTGGTACCACTCCAGTTCAGTTTTCATTGCATGAGTTTGAGAAGATCACCGGACTCAACTGCGGGTACGTGGATGACTTGGCTGTAACTGATCTTGAGCTTTCCGATGACATGCGGGCATTTTGGGAGCTAATGGGGGTCGATGTCAAGTCGGGCCCAAGCACTATCGAAATTATTGAAGCCTGTTCCAACTGCTCATCATGGTCTCGGGATGATAGGCTGCGGTTGGGATATCTTGGGATCTACGCTGGTTTCATAGTGGCAACAAGACCAGGCTTATCCAGAAATGTCAACCATGCCAGACTAGTGATGGATCTCGAAGTTTTTAAGGAGTTCCCATGGGGTAGAATTGCTTTTCAGCATCTGATCAAGTCTGTTAAGGAGAAAGATCTCAGCAAAAACATTCATATAGAAGGATTTGTGCAAGCTCTTCAAGTTTGGGTGTACTATGCTCTGCCGGATTTTGCTGCTGAATTTGGTGAACCATTGCCAAATGATCCTACACCTCTTCTGCTGGCTGACAAAGGATCAAGAGGACGAAAGAACGTCAAAGCCAACATGCTATAACAGGTACTGTATTAGTCTAGTCATTCTCATTTAGAAGTCTTGTTCCGTAGTAGACTTCTATATAGTAATGAATTTACAAAGTAGACTTCAGGAGTAGACTTCATGTGTAGACTTCTATATAAAAATCTTGTTAGATGAAGACTTCAGTTGTACTTCAGTAGTAGACTTCAATGGTAGACTTCATACGTAGTTTTCCAGGCTTCATATGGCTAGTAATTCATTTACTTATTGTGCTTTTCCAGGCTCGCATACAGTATTGCGTGGCTAAGGACTTGGCAGATATGTTTCCAGTTTGGGATGATGAGGAACAGGATCCGGATATTGTCAAGATTGTCAATGCAATCCATGACCCCTATTTCAAATTCTCAAAAAAACCACTGGCCTTTGGAAGGTGTTCTGGATGCACACATCGTCAAGGCAGAAGCAGGAAAGAAGAGCCCTCCCTCAGAAGAATCAAGTCGCAAGAGAACCTGCACAGCCTCTGCCTCTGCCGCCTCTTTCGTTGGTGATGAAGGTGTCGGAGTTGTCGCTACTATGAAAGCGCACTTCGACCAATGCTTCAAAAGCTTTTCAACCAAGATGCTGAATGGTCTTGGTAGCTGTGAAAAGCAGATCAAACTTCTCACCGACAAGGTTGAATCTGTAGAGCGCGCGGTAGAGGAGTTGACTACAGGGTCGGCGAAGCACACTGAGGAAGAGGTTAAGGACAATGTTCAGCCAACCCAGCAGCAGGTCACTGGATCCAAGAAGCATGAAGGGGTTAGTACCAAAAACCCTCCGCCTATACGAAAACATTTCATGCGAACAAGATCATCAAAAGATAGGAACACTTAATACTAATGTCATTTGAATTCGAACATGTTTAATAGTGCTATGTACCATGTGAGATTGTTTACTTATGTTTTAAAAACTAGTTGTTTCCAATTTTCAGACTATGATGAAACATGTTACTAAATTATAGCAATGGTGTGTCATTTGTATATTCATGCATGTTTGTGACAATAAACTGCAGAGTATTTCAGAGAAAGAAGATGCTCCGATGAAACATAATGTCAATGTTGGTGCGAGTGAGAGTGTTAATGCCCCCGGGGATGCAAAAGGAAAGAAGGCTGCCATGAAGGAAGAAGAGGCCCCCGAGCCTAGCTTTTGTGAAATTGACCCGAAGACGTGTGATGTTGACTTCGACGCAGTTTCACTAGCCAAAAATGCCAAAGCCAGAGCAGCGGCTCAGATAGTTGCCCGAGCAACGAGTGCCAGAAACCGACAGCTGGCTGCGACACAGAAGAGTCATTTCTTAGGAAATAGCACCGCAAAAGCGATCATTCCAACGTCGGCATCTCACTCCGGCCGTGTCCGTGGATATGATCCTTTCGATCAAATCGGTGTCAGGGCGAAGCATACGACTCTAATGAACTTTGTGAAAGCAAACCCGTAAGTAGACTTCTATACTTATGTAAGTAGACTTCCTCATATTATTATTTTCCTGTCTGACTTTTTCACTTATACAGTGCCTATCCAAGACGTCCAAAAAACTCTTTGATCGACTGGTATTACATTCTCCGGACACCGAAAAAATGGCTAGTTGATACGGTTAGTGTTTTACTATTTCATATTAGACTTCATAGATAGACTTCATACGTAGACCTTATATGTAGACTTCTTTAGTAGATTTCGTATGCAGACTTCACTCATGTCTTATTTTA